AGTCTATTAGATTTTTGAGTATGAGGCCTTATTTTGGACAGAAGGGGGAGTATAAGGGACTCAAAATGGAGAAAATTAGCCTATGGTTACAGAAGATATGGAACAAATTAACTGACGAGGACCTGCGTGCCAAATGAACTTTTCTCTCAAAGTTTACACTGCTGGCAAATGTAAATAAGGATTAAAATTTAAAAACTAATTAATACAACTAAAGTAAAATCTGTGGAAAATTAACAATAACATACTTTTTTCGCAAAATCTATAAAGGACTCTTCTATTTCTCAAAAAAACCTGGGTAACAGTTATTCGTCGCCACGCTGTATATTAGTTTGTGTTTGCCTATTTTTAATTCAACTAACGGAATATTTCCTTGTTCATATCCGATAGTAAATTTATCTCCTGTTCTTCTAATTCTTTTTCTTCTTGTAAGTGGTCTACTTCCATCGGCTCGTACCGGCGAGATTGTGTAGATTTTTGATTGGAATAATTTGTCAAATTTTCTGGTTGGTTTCGCTAATCCTGTTTCTTCTAAAGTATAATATGCTTCCCTAAGTGTCCCTATGCTCCTGCTATATATTATACTTGCTAGATGGGCGGGGATATTATTGAGGAATGTTTTTATGATCGTAGATTCATTGACAGCTGGACAGAATTCTGTTTGCTTATTGTCATCTTGTTCAAATTTAGTGTTTAGATTATCTAATATATTTTTAAGGTAATTATAATAGTGACTTTCATTATTATTATTTTTGCCGTTGATGGCCCGATAGTATAGTTGGTGGTATGTGTCTCTTATACCAAAGTTCTTGATGAGCTCCTTTATGAGATCCCATGTTGAGTGAGCACCTAGTCCCCTGACTAGGTTGAGTGCCTCACCTTGCAGTTTGTTTATTACACAGCGCTGGAACACATATTCTTTCATCGGAGTATTTTCGAATAGGGGCAGGAAGATTTCGACTTCCCTGATGAATGAGGTTAGGTCATAGTCTCTGTTGAGTTTCAAAATCCTAGGATAATACGAATATATCATCAATGTAGTCGTGACATGTCTTCCTATTTCTTCCCTCAGCACATCCTCGATGGTGCGCTGGAAAACACTCGGGCATTTTTAAGGCCAAACGGCAGTCTACAAAACTTATATTTTCCGCTATTTACGGCAAATTTTTTATTCTCCATGTCCTTTTCAGCTAATGATATCTGGTGGAAACTAGATTTAAGGTCTATCGTTCGCGATTGGTGCCATAAATTTATTTCACCGAAAAGGGAGATGATGTTACCGCTTTTACTCCCTGCTAATCACATTCTCTTATATATGTAGTTTTTAGAGGCACCGGTGTCGATTAAGAATTTTACTGGTTACCCTTTGATATTCCTGCTAACGTATGGTAGCAGGAGCGTTACCGTAAAAAATGTATTTCATAACTTGGTACCTCCGGTACCACGTCATCATGGTTGTAAACTCCATCGGCTGACACGTTCTCATCGTAGGCATCAGAATCTGTTTAGCCTTAAAATGGCGAACAGTGTAGCACAGAAGTGTAGCACGAGGGTAGCACAGAATCCGCACGTCCGGTAATATTGTTGCATGACGGCTTGAGCCGCCTGGCGCCACAATACGTATCGAGTCTGGTCACCAGAAAATTATGGCAATGACTTGACTACATCTAATGACACTTTGTATTCAATATTGGAATCAAATGTAATTACTTGGTATTCTTCCACTTTCGTCGATGCCTCTATCCTTGAAAGTCTATCTGTCCGTTAGTCGATCCCAGTCTGAAAATCTTTTTT